TAGCAACATCTTTTTCCCAGTCTAGTGTATAATCTAGGATCATACATTGCATTTAGTTGTCATGTTTGTTTAGTCTCCTTTAATTGAAACAATTCTTCTTTATCTGTCTCTCATGATCTTGATATTTTTGAAGAGTACAGAACAATTACTTTGTAGAATGTTCTTTAATTTTGGTTTCTCTGGTGTTTCATCATGATTAGATTCAGATATTGCATTGTTGGCAGAGATAACACAAAAGTGATACTGTGTCCTTCACAGTCCATCATATCAGGAGGCATTTGATGTTCATTTGTTTCATTATTAGTGATACTAACTTTGATAACTTGGATAAGGAGCTATCTTACCAGTATGAGCCAACATAAACGTACCATTATTAATTTGTAGTGAGTAAATAATTTGTGGGGAAATAGTTTGAGGCAGTGCAAATAATCTGCTCCTCACCAAACCTGTACCCAGTATATTTTAGCATCTGTCAATGATTGTTGACTGAATCAATTATTACTATGATATTTGAATCAATTATTACTATGATATTTGCAAAATGATGATTTTCTAACTCCATTATCCTTTCTACATTTATTACTGAGCATACTTACGTAAGGGATAACTTTCCTTCACCCCCCTTTATTAATTTGGTAGACTTAATTCTTATTTAATTCAAAAGGTTATAATGCATTGATCTCATTTTGAAATTTGATGCTCAAATGTTTCAAATTTGGCCATTGGAAACTCACTCAAGCAGCCTCCATGAACTTTAAAAATGTTTTTTAATTAATTTATTTTTGGCTGCACTGGGTCTTCGTTGCTGCATGCGGGCTTTCTCTAGCTGTGGTGAACGGGGGCTACTCTTTGTTGCGGTGTGCGGGCTTCTCATTGCGGTAGCTTCTCTTGCTGTGGAGCACGGGCTCTAGGCACGCGGGCTTCAGTAGTTGTGGCTCGCGGGCTTAGTTGCTCCGTGGCATGTGGGATATTCCCAAACCAGGGCTCAAATCCATGTGCCCTGCATTGGCAGGCGGATTCTTAACTACTGCGCCACCAGGGAAGTCCCTCCCATGAACTTTTAACATGCCCATGATTCTTTGAACATTTCTTTACTTTCTGACACAGTAAGATATTCCAGGATCATCTTTTACTTTATCTGTCCCATCATTAGAATCAGTTGTTTTCTTTAAGGAGCCCTAGTTCCTTTTTGTGGAGATGGGTATTTACAAACTAAGATCTGGGCGCTAAGTGCGCTGATTTTCTACTGGAGTGCCATTATGTCTAGGTTCAGCTGGGCTAGGAAATCTCTATCTCTGCCTCTAATCAAGGAGTTCATATTGATGCTCCCAGATCTAATCTAACACCAGAAGGTTCATTTTAGTCTTTTTCCTTTCCATATTTGTAAGTCCTTTTTCCAAGTGACAAACTTGGCTCACATTATCCTCAGTATATTTACTCACTTGCCCAGGCTTAGATTCACAGAAAGTGTTTCAGAATTGCTAACCCTACCACTATAAAAAATCATACTGACTAACCAGTGTTCAATACTTGTTAAAAGATTTTTGTTTTCAAACTGAGGGTATAGAATGAAAACTCTGTATTCAAAAGTAATTATTTTTCCCTTCAGTGTTATTCATTTGAATTATAGGCTTATTTGTTTTTGTTTATATTCCATTTTTGGTTTCTTTCCCCTCCATCACTGTTAATTTAACTTCACCATCTTCATCATCATCATTATTTTATGTATGGAAAGCATTAACATGCTTCCAAAACTCGAAATTACACAGAAATCTATATTGAGAGGAGGGTCACTTCCCCTTTCTCACCCCATGCACCTTAATGCACCCTTATTAGTTTCTGGCTCATTCTTCCCGAGTTTCTTTTTTTTTAAATACAAATAAATACATTTATATTATCTTATTTCCTCTTCTTTCTTACACAAATGTATCATACTATATATACCCTTTGGCACTTTGCTTTTATTGATTGACAGCAAATATATCCTGGAAATCACTCCATATCACATCTTCTATAGTTTTTATTTATAGTTGCATAATATACCATTGTGTGAATATACCATAGCTCATTCAACCAATCTCCTAAGTGTGTTTTTTCCCAGTATTTTTCAATCACAAATAGTGATATACTTTGTTCATGTTTTTTTTTGTTTGTTTTGTTTGTTTGTACATTCTTGAAGGTGTATCTTCAAGGTAAACGCTTAGATGCAATTCAAAAGGTAAACTCACTTGTGGTTTTGTTACATATTGTCAAATTCTCCTCCCATAAAGGTGGGGGGACATTCCCACCATCAATGTATAAAACTCTCTTTCCTTATGGCTATGTCAAGAGAATGTGCTATCAAGCTTTGTAATTTTTACCACATATAATCATTGAGAAATGGTATCTCAGCATAGTTATAATTTGCAGTTATAATTTCCATTATAACTGAAGTTGTCCATCTTTTCATATGTTTAAAGGTCATTTAAAATCTTTATTTGTGAATTGTCTGTCTGTGACTTTTGCTTATTTTTCTATTGGGTTTTTGATCTTTTTCCCCCTTCAGTTTTAGAGTTCTTTATGTGTTGGGCCTTTTATCTGTGATGTATGTTATTCATAGTTATTTTTAAATCTGTGTGAGTCTGTGGGACTATTTTTATTTTATTTTATTAAAAAAAATTCCTCTGTTCCTCTTTCCTGGTTGGCCTGGTATTTTGAAACTCAGAGTCTGGGGCCTTTGCCCTCCTCCCTGGCAGCTCTGAAAGCTCATTTTTGGGTTCTCAGTGCAATGAGACTCCTGTTTCCTCCTGAGATTTTAGTCGTGTACAGTTGCTTCTGCTGGTTTCTTTGTTTTCTCTGAGCATGTGCAGCTTGTGAGTCAGCAAAGTCCTTGAGGGGAATCTGCCCTATTAGGCTCACTTCTCTGCAGCTCACTTTCTCCAGGATGTTGGCCTTTCAGTTCTTGTCAACTCTTCCAACACAGCAAGACCACTGCAAGCTCTAGGTTGCTGTTACCTCTTCAGCCTTTATTCCCCATGTGGTGAATTGGCAAGTGCCCTGATGAGAAACAGCAGAGGCCAGTGTGTTACCCTGTCCCTGGGGGTACAGACTGTAGAGTCCTGCTGCTGTGATTTTTTTCCTCAGATGTTCAAACAGCTCTTCTTTTATGTTTCATCTAGCTCCTGTAGTTGTTCTCAGACAGAGAGGTTATTCTGATGCCGGTTATTCCATCATAGCTGGTATTCCATTCCAGTCATCTTTCCACTTAGCACATTTCATTAAATTTGTATGGAAATGAGAGAACACAGTCAAATTGACAAAGCATTTTAAAATTGACAAGGAAATTGGCCTGCTCGTACACTGCTGTGGAAGGTATGAATTGGTACCACCTTTCTGGAGGGCATTAATTTATATCAAAATCCTTAACAACTCACTTACCCTTTGACCCAGCAATTCTGCTTCCAAGTATTTATCCTAAGAAGATGATCGTGGATGTGTGCGAAGGTTTATTTACAAAGATTCCAATGCCATTTAACAAACTTGGAATCAAAATTCTCAATATGCAGCAAAAGAATATTTGAGAAATTTTGGTGCTTCAATATAATGGAATATAACAGAATCCAGCACTGCAAATGATATAAGAGAATATTTAAGCATATTTAGACACTCTCTCTATTTAACGTTAGGGAGTATTGTTAAGCACAGGAGATTACAAAACAACATGAGCAGTACGGTCCTATTTAAGAATGTGTACGTAGATACATAAATATAAGACTGGAATAATGCACACAGAAGTGTCAATAGCTGGTATTGTTGGGTTGTTGGGTTTTTTTTTCCCCTTTGTGCGTAATCTAAACATTTTCCATAGGGCATTACTTTTGTTCTAAAAGAAAACTAATGCACTTAAAAGAAAAAATCCTTATAGTTGATAGGCCCAATTGATAATATTTTCTGGTAAACATTTTACTTTATACTGTTTACCCAAACTCTATCTTTATGCCCTTGGTGATGTTACAGATTTTGTCAGAAACAGTACCCTCCTTGAAATACTTTGTGGAATAGAGCACCCCCATAGAAATATACTTTAAATTCCTACTAGTCAAATTCAAACAAAGGCTTCACTTGCTTCTGTCAGTGTGTGCCAAAGCCTTTTAAAATAAGGAGTCCTTTTAAAAAGTAAGGGACTTCCCTGGTGGCACAGTGGTTAAGAATCCGCCTGCCAGTGCAGGGGACACGGGTTTGATCCCTGGTCCGGGAAGATCCCACATGCGGCAGAGCAGCCAAGCCTGTGAGTCACAACTACTGAGTCTGCTCTCTAGAGCCCGCGAGCCACAGCTACTGAGCCCATGTGCCACAACTACTGAAGCTCACATGCCTACAGCCTGTGCTCCGCAACAAGAGAAGCCACCGCAATGAGAAGCCTGCGCACCGCAAGGAAGAGTAGCCCTCGCTCGCCGCAGTTAGAGAAAGCCCGTGCGCAGCAACGAAGACCCAACGCAGCCAAAAATAAATAAATAAAAAGGTTTGTGGCAAGGACCTGGATTATCAGGGAAGATTTATTTCCTAGCAGAAAAAAAAAATCTAATTTCCTTCTTTTTTTTAAAATTTAATTAATTTATTTTTGGCTGTGTTGGGTCTTGGTTGCTGCGCTTGGGCTTTCTCTAGTTGCAGTGAGCGGGGGCTACTCTTCGTTGTGGTGCGTGGGCTTCTCATTGCGGTGGCTTCTCTTGTTGTGGAGCATGGGCTCTAGGCATGTGGGCTTCAGTAGTTGTGGCTCGTGGGCTCAGTAGTTGTGGCTCACGGGCTTAGTTGCTCCGTGGCATGTGGGATCTTCCCAGACCAGGGCTCGAACCCGTGTCCCATGCATTGGCGGGCAGATTCCTAACCACTGCGCCACCAGGGAAGTCCCCTCTAATTTCCTTTTGAAACCAATGGCCAAAATGTAATGCAATTGCTTTTGTAAAACTAAAATCAAGATTTCTTGAGACCATTCTTATCCCCTATTGCTTTTTTTCTTGAAGGTACTCTCCAATGCAGCAATTACCAGCCACGACCTTTTGGGTTTTGAGGCTGCTTCCTAGGAATGTCCGTTCCTTGGCTACATCATCAGGGAATCAGAGAGTTGAGGCTTGCCACCAGCACCACGAGGCCTGTGGGTACTTCTTGCTCATCCAGACGAGGTGGCAGGACAATGACCAGTACGGCCGTGGGAACAGTGCTGTGTACTACAGCTACTTAGACACGATGATCAACCCGTACCCGATGAGGTAGGTGTGGGTTTTGCAGCCCCCATCCTCATGTCACCCCTCCGGCATGCTCTCTGGTGGGAGTTCACGCAGGGGATTCCTCTAGTGTTTCTGCTAGTGCACCTCCTTTGTTGAGCCAAATTATTCTTGAGAACAGCAGGACCGATAGGTTAGTGAGGACAGTGTCCTGCTGCTTCTGCAGTTGTAGGTGTTTGTCTGTCTTGGTCCTTTGCACTAAATTGTCAGCAAATGTGCGAGCTTTGAGTCTCAGTTAAACAACTACACAACAAGCTACATAATATTCAAACCCTGGAGTTTGAGCAGACAGTAACTTCAGCCCTCAAGGCCTTTTTATGAGAAAAGCAGCTGCTTCCCCCACCAAGGGCACATCAGGGGGAGGAGAGAGAGTAAAGATGTTTATGATAGCCTCTGAATGCCGTGATGACACAGTTGCCATCGGAGGTGTGTTTGCAAGATTGGTTACTGTACGTTTGGTTAATATAATTGTCTGTGTGAAAGACTGAGCTGCACAGAGAGATCTGTGTAAATCCCAGCTCCACCTTGCATTAACTGTGCAGTTTGGATCAAATCATTTAACCTGTTGCATCTTTTGTAAAAATAACTTGCATTTACTGAGAGCTCTCTCTTTGTTTGGCACTGTAAAGCCTTTACACAGCCTTTCTTGTTTAATCCAAAACAACTTGATGGGAGAGTAGCAGATTATTGGTCCACTGCCCAAACCTCCTTGCCTGTAACTTTCAGGGCACACTGGTCTGACCATCCACTGTCAGCACCAGCATTTCTTTGCCTAAGGACTTTCTCTGGCCACCAGAGCCCCTTTGGCCGGGCAGGCCAGAAGTGCAAGGAATCAATGTTCCCCAAAAGCAACCTTCAGTCACTGACTGATGGGAGTTAGTGTAAGAATACCCCAGCTTCCTTACCTCTTGGATGAGATAACTCTGAGCTGCACACTGTAATACAGGCTCCCAGCCTTCCCTAGTGGGATTAGGCTCCAGGTCCCAGAGTGGTAGCTTTCAAAAATGGAGATAAAATTTACATAACACAAAACCTACTATTTTAACCATTTTAAGTGTACAATTCGGTGGCTTTTAGTATATTCGCAATGTTGTGTAGCCATCACCACTGCCTAATTCCAGAACATTTCCATCACCCCCCAAAAAAAGCCCCCTACCTGTTAATAGTCACTCAGTTCCCCTCTCCTCCCATCCTCTGGCAACCCTTCTGTCGCTATAAATGTGTCAATTCTGGACATTTCCTATAAATGGAATCATAGTATATATAATCCTTTGTGTCTGGCTTCTTTCACTCAGCATGATGTTTTCGGGGTTGGTCCACGTTGCAGCTTGTGTTTTTCTTATGGCCAAATACCATTCTGTTGTATGGATAAGCCATATTTTGTTTACTCATTTGTCATTTGATGGACATTTGGGCTGTTCCCACTTTTTGGCTATTATGAATAATGCTGCTCTGAATATTTGTATACAAGTGTTTGTGTGGACATGTTTTCAGTTCTTTTGGGTACGTACCTAGAATGGAATTGCTTGGGTCATATGGTAACTTTATATTTAACTTTTTGAGTAACCATCAACAGTAACCATCACTGTTTTCCACAGTGACTGTGCCATTTATATTCCCACCAGCCGTGTCTGAGGATTTCAGTTTCTCCACAACTTGTAATTATTTATCTTTTTGCTTACAGTCATCCTGGTGTGTATGAAGTGGTGTCTCATTTTGATTTTCATTTGCATTTCCCTGATGACTAATGATGTTGAGCATCTTTTCACATGCTTATTGGTCTTTGGTACATCTTCTTTGGAAACATACCTATTCAAATCCTTTCTCCATTTTTCAACTGGGTTATTTGTATTTTTATTGTTAGGTTGTAAGAGTTCTTTATATATTCTGGATACTAGACCCTTATCATAGAATATGATTTACAAATACTTTCCCCTGGAGATCCAGATGGTGGAGTAGAGGGATGTGGAGCTCACTCCCTCCCACAAATAAATCAAAAATACGTCTACATGTGGAACAATTCTCACAGAATACATACTGAAAGCTGGCAGAAGATTTCATACAAGCAAAGGTGCAAGAAAAGATCCTCACGTCACTGGATAGGATGAAGGGAAAAGGGAGAAGAAGACAAATGCTTTCTCCCATTCTGTAGGCTTTTTTACTTTCTTGCTAGTGTCCTTTGACACACACAAGCTTTTAATTTTGATGACAGTGGTAACTTTTTGAATAGCAAATGCTTTATTGGCTACCTTCCCTTCCTGTCCCTTCCTCATTTCTGCAGGAGCACTTCACCTAAAAGAAGTACCTTATAGTTCTCACATTGCATATTTACTATGTGAGGGAAATTAAATTTTTTTTTCTTCGAAAGGATATGTTTTCACTTGAAGAGTGCCTCATTCTCTTGGATGCTATGTGGTCCTGAATTGTCACACTAATTTTACTTTTTGTGCACCTGTCAGTGATTCCTCTAGAAGTAGCTTGTACTTGCTTACTTATGAATAATAAACCGTCTTTTTCAGCACTCATGATAGCTTTTAGGAGAATGTGTGCTTTATACTTTGAAATCCACAGCAGGAGGTAAAAACAGTATTTGAGGCTATTTGTAATTTCACATCATTTGTCATAGGGAAACTTGACAATGAATTTTCCCAGTTCGCTCCAGGGCTACTTACTCTTTTCTAAGGAAGGATCAGCCTTGTAATTTCTTTGGATTGACTCTCAGTTGTATTGCAGTTGAGACCTAGTGGTGTGTCTTAGTCAGTTTGGGCTGCTATAATAGAAATTTAAACTGTAAACTGTAAACCACTGTAAACTGGTGGTTTAAACAATAGAAATTTACTTCTCACCATTCTGGAAGCTGGGAAGCCCAGATCAGGGTACCAGCATGGTTGAGTTCTGGGGAGGGCCCTCTTCTTGGTTTGCAGACAGCCGCCTTCTTGCTGTATCCTCACATGGCCGAGGGAAGAGAGATCGAGCCACCCTCATGACCTCTTCTAAATCTGATTACCTCCCAAAGACTCTACCTCCTAATACCATTCCATCAAAGGGTAGGGTTTCAATATATGATCTGGAGGGAACACAGACATGTGTGCAGTCCACAACATGGCTTTTGTGACTTTTGAAGTCTTCCATTTGTAAATGGGGCTTCTAGAAAGACAATGTGCAGTTAATGATTGAGTCCTTTATCCAGTGGAGGTTGTGTCTGTGTGGTCTCAGTTTGTTGTAAACCGTTTCATCCAAGGTCTGCTTCTGCCAATTTTGGGGGTAGGGATGGGGGTTGGCAGCATGTAAGGAAGAATTTCTGCCAGAATAGTGTCCTGTTTCATGTAGGAGCCTCCAGGTATTACACATTGACTCCAAAACTGTGAAAATACCCTAACTATTGTGGTCAGGGACTTCCTGATCATGACAAAAAAATGAGTTTACCTTTATACGTTTTCTAAGAGATCTGAGGATTGTTTAATAGGTTGCTCACTGACTGTCAAAAGGCAAGCCAGCAGCATATAGAGGTGTGAGGACACTGAGAAGACCAGCCAGGGAGAGGCAGCCTCATTTCACCAGTGTGAGCCAATGTGAGGAAGGCAGCTGGTCAGGTGGAAGCAATGCATCCCAGCCTGGCTTGCACACTCGCCTCCTTCCACTTGGCTTTCTAAGGATAGGTGGCACTGTACAGGTGCCAAACACCATGGGATAATCAATGAGCAACATCCTTGTCTAGAAGATTCCCTCTTTGGGGGGGTGTGTTTCTCTAGTCAAGGGAACCAGGGAGTAATGGAGGGCGTGGCAGGGGAGGGAGAGAAAGACAGCAGAAGAGGCCACGGACTGCCCAAAGTTCCCATCACTTTGACACGCGGAAGGGGTTAAGTCATTCTCGAACAGTTTATCGCTCATCAATTGTAATTAAATATGTTTATATTAAATTATGTTCTGTAATTAATGTAAAATCCTTTAGCCTATGCTGTTATTAGAACCAGATGCTGAAGTACCAACAATATTTCAACATGACCGTGCTGCCTCGCCAGCTGTCTAGCTGTAATTACTTTAATCTCAGCTTGTTATCTAATTATCACCTTTGTAAAGGGAAAAGTACTCTCTAATGCTTACTGATTGTTTCAGATGACGATGAAGAGCGGGGAACAGCTGTCAGAGATCGTGGGCCCTGCTTATCACAAAGAAGGAACTTATCCTGAGATCTGTTCTGGGCCAAACTGCTGAAAAAAGATGTCCCAGGCAGGAACTGGGGACTAGTCAGTAAGGGGAGACAGTTGGTGTGGTAGTTAAGGGTCTGGCCCCTGTGGATAAACTGTCAGGTGACATCTGCCTCCTCCAGTGATGGCTGGGGGACAAGTTACTTAGTCTGTTTAAGACTTAGTTGCCTCGTCTGTAACATGGAGACAGTAATAATACTAAAATCTACCTCGAGGATTCCTGGGGAGATTAAATGAGATAAAATCTATGAAGCCATAGCAGTGCCTGACAAAATGTCCATACTTCGTAAATGTTAACTATTTTTTCTTTTTGAAAAAAATCAATGTTGGTTTTCAACATTTCCATCTAAGCCAAATCTGAAACAACTGAAATGGGTATCTAAATGCCAGCGGCTTGGCATTACCAGTTTGTTTTCCAAATTATCTTTAAGTCTGTCCTTTGGGGACTGAAATTCACCTTTGCATTGCTTATTCAAAAATGGTTCACCCAACCAGTATAGACGAGTATTGTCAGGAAAATCTTTTGAGGGGGAATAAACCATTTTGGAGTATTCTTCAGTACTTTATGCATGTACTTTCATGTCAGCAGTTGATGTGGTAACTGTAGTTCATTCCAAAATAATCATTAAAGCAGATTCTCTTAGGATGTTTATTGAGCTTCTAATATCCTCCAAGCTTTACCTCTCAGGGCTGCACTCCCATCAGAGGGGAGCTGGCAGCCTCTCCCTGCTGTGGAATAGCACGTCCATCTCCCCAGTTAGACTGTGAGCCCCTTGA